ACCACCACAAAGAACAAAGTTATAATAATCAAAACAGCATGATACAAGCAGAAAACAATATATCAACCAAAGGAATAGAATAAAAAGCCAACAAAAAAACCCTTATATCTAAAGTGAATTGATTTCCTTTAACGTTTTCTTTTACTTTTAGGTGGACACAATATCTTTATTTTATTTTTATGTGGTGCTGAGGATCAAACCCAGTGCCCTGCACATGCCAAGCAAGCTTGCTACCACTTGAGCCACATCTCCAGCCCCTTCCTTTAACTTTTTAATTTATGCATTACAATTACACATAATAGTTGCATTTATTGTGACATTGCTACATAACATAATTGGTAAATTACATTCTCTAGTATTTTCTCTTTCCCTTCCTCTACTCTACTGGTCTCCCTTCTAATTTCATAAGATCCCTCACCCTTTGTTTTCCCTTTTTAGTTTCCACATATGAGAGAAAACATGACTCTTGACTTTCTAAGTCTGGCTTATTTCACTTAACATAATGTTCTCAAGTTCTATCCATTTTTCTACAAATGACATAATTTTATTCCTTATAGCTGAGTAAAACTCCATCGTGTGCATATACTACATTATCTTTATCCATGCATCTGTTGACAGGCACCTAGGTTTGGTTCCATAATGTGACTATTGTGAATTACACTGCTATAAACATGGGTATGCATGTACTACTACAGTATGCAGACTTTAATTCTTTTGGATAAATTTTGAGGAATGGTATACTGTTAAGCCAGGATGCAAAGAAAAGACCACTGACTCCAATTAAAATCAGATTAAAACAAGCTTATTATTTCGACTGGCTGGGCTGTCTCTCCCCAAAACCACAGGAACCAGAGACAGCCCCCTGCCCTCCAGGAGTACAGCTTTATAGCACAGAAAGTTACACAAAGCGGGCTTGAGAACCTACAGATAACAAAATTTTGACAAGAATAACACAAAGGCTAGTTCATATTTTGCTGGCCCCGACATCAGAATTTATGAAGGTTGAATTTATCAAGGTCATGGGAGAGCCTCAGAGAGGATAATTATCTGGCCAGGGAAGGTCAAGATTTACAAGGCACCACTAAAGTTTCAGAGATGGTTGTTATCTGGTCAGGTAAAGCCGGGCATAGGTGAGTTCAAGGCACGGCATGGGCAGGCATTCCAAGCAGTTTTACAACATCAAATTACAGCCAGGCTATACAGAAATCCTAATATTTTACAGAAAACAGAAATGAATCCTTTATAACTTGTGACAAGATGGCTCCTGATCTTAAGAGGCAATTAGGATAGGTTTATCAATAACTGGGTCTTAGGGCGGCTCTATTCCTAGTCTTTTGAGGAAACTCTATATTGATTTGCAAGGTGATTGTATAAATTTTCAATCCCACCTAAAGAGTATAAGTTATTCTTTTCCCCCCACATTCTTGGCAGCATTTATTATTATTATTTTTAGTAGCAGTACTAGTAGTAGTATTGGAAATTGAACCCAGGGCCACTCTACCAATGAGCTACCTCCCCAGCTCTTCTGATTTTTGCCATATTTCAAAATATATTACAAGGTTATGATTTTGAGACAGGATCTTGCTAAGTTAGTTACTAAGGTGGTCTTTAACTTGATATCCTCCAGCTTCAGCCCCTTAAGTAGCTGAGATTACAGGCATGCACCACCATGCCCAACTATTATTTACAATCTTGATGATTGCTATTGTAAATGAGATGAGGCAAAAATCTCAGTATAGTTTTGATTTGCATTTCCCTGATTGCTAAAGATGTTGGACACTTTTTCAAATATTTGTTGGCCACTTTGTATATCTTCTTTTTGGCACTGTTTAATTCATTAGGTCAATAGATTTTTGAACAAAGATGCTAAGAAAAAAAATGGGAAATGGATAGTCTCTTTAACAAATGGGGCTGGGAAAACTGGATATCCACATACAAAAGAACAAAAGTGAACATTTATCTCATCACTTGTACAAGCATAGACCCAAAGTGGGTAAAAGACTTAAACTAAGGCCCAGAATATAAAACGACTAAAAAGAACATGGAGGGAAATTGCTCAGATATGTTCACAAAACATAAGCAATGAAAGCAAAAACAGACACATGGGATTGCATCAAACAAAAAGCTCTTCACAGCAAAGGAAACACAGTGAAGAGAATGCACCATCTGGGAGAAAATATCTGCAAATCATGAATTCAGGAGATAATACCCAAAATATTCAAGGAACTCAAACTGCTCAAGATAACAAATATCCCTACTTATAAAAGGGCAAAAGATTTGAATAGATGTTTCTCAGTAGACAAATGACCCAACCAGGTGTGGTGGCATGCACCTGTAATCCTAGCAGCTTGGGAAGCTTGGGCGGAGGATCTCAAGTTCAAAGCCAGCCTCAGCAATTTAGTGAGGGCCTAAGCAACTCAGCAAGACCCTGTGTCTAAATTTAAAAAATCAAAAAAGGGCTTGGGATGTTGCTCAGTGGTTATAGCACCCTGTGTTCAATCCCTGGTACCAAAAAAAAAAAAGATAAATGACCAACAGATATATCAAAAAATGTTCAATATCTGTTAGAAAAATGCAAGTACAATATCACCTTATACATATTAGATTTACTATAATCCAAAAGATGAACAATACGCTTAAGGTTTTAAAGCTAGGAATGCATTTTGTTATGCATAAACATTGTATCATATGCAATGTTTGTGAATTTTTTTGGTGGGTACCATGGGGGATTAACCAATGAGCCACATCCCCAGTTCTTTTTTATATTTTATTTGGAGAAAGGGTCTCAATCATTTGCTGAGGCTGACTTTGAACTGCCTTAGCCTCCCGGATCACTGGAATTACGGGCATGTGCCACTGTGCCTAGCTGTTGAATGATTTTTTTCACCTGATAGGAAAATGTTTTTGATTTTTTCTAGATAGTTATACATGTCAACAGAATGCATTTTTTGTTGTTTATTACCTATATTTCTTTTATTTATTTATTTCTTACATACATGACAATAGTGGAATGCATTACATTTATAATTATCCATTCACAGCAAAATTTTCATAACTCTGTATATAAAGTATGTTCACACCAAATTATGCCATTATACATGAGCTCTCTTTTTTTGCATTGCAATTTTAATATACCACAATTTATCATATCTGTTTGTATATAAGGTCAGAATGCATTTTGATACATCATATATAAATGGAGTATGACTTCTCATTCTTCTTATTGTACATGATGTAGATTACATCAGTCATGTAATCATATGCATATAGGCGCATAATGTCCAATTCATTCTAATATTCTGCCTATTCCAATACCCCCTCCCCTCCCTTTACTTCCCCTGTATAACACAAAATACCTCTATTCTTCCCTAACTACACCCAACAATTATTGTATAAAACAAGCGGTGGGATAGCTGGGTCAAATGGTGGTTCCATCCCAAGTTTTCTAAGGAATCTCCATACTGCGTTCCATATTTGCACCAATTTGCATTCCCAACAAAAATGTATGAGTGTGCCTTTTCCCCTATACCCTCACCAACATTTATTGTTGCTTCTGTTCTTGATAATTGTCATTCTGACTGGAGTGAGATGAAATCTTAGTTTTGATTTGTATTTCTCTAATTGCTAGGAAAATGTTTAAATTTATATATAACTTAAATCAATACAACTGACATAATCTAGAAGAAAGTAGATACATGGATTATGCTGAGAGCAAAGACACTTTCAGGTCAGAACTGATCATTTGAAACAAAGTTGTTTTTTAGAAAAATTTCCTTATGTTAGTATAGACTACATGCTATTTGATAAAAGATAGCAAAAGGAGTTAAATTTTTTTTTCAGTGCAATGTTAATTGGATAATTGAAGTTAATAATTCTCTCTCTCTCTGTAACTTCTGGGGAAATTGGTTCTAGGACCCTCAGATACCAAAATTGACTCTAAAGTCCTTTATATAAAATGGGGAAGGAACTGAGAAACTGATATGACTCCATTTTTGAGAAACCAGCTTCTACCTCAAGGCCTGTCCTAAGGAAGGGGGCTTGACCCTTGTCCTTGGAAAAACCCACAGAGCACTCCTAAGCACATACCCACCCTGCTGAGTTGTTTGTCTGTAAATAACAGGAGAGGTCTGGGGCGCCAGGTGTCCCTGACTCAGTTAGGCTACATGAGGACCCATAGCAACCCCGTAACAACCTCCAATCAGCATGAGACAGGGAAAATACCTGGGGATGCCAGATGACCCCCCAGTAGTTTATGGTGGTTGATAATGTGTTGGGAAACCATGTAGTTTAGCACGTACATCCTCATGGTTCAAACCAATCAGTTCAAATGAATCCCCCTCTTGCACTAACGAATCACCCCTACCCAATTTGTTCCCGCCAGTGAATGTGCTAATCAATGTTAAGAGTCACTGTTTGATTTTCCCGCGGAATGGAATGATTTGCTGTGTGATGTTGTGACCCCAAAACCTATAAAATCTCACTAAACAAAGGAACAGGAAGCTGGGGATGTGGCTCAAGCAGCTCACCTGGCATGCTCGGGGCTCTGGGTTCAATTCTCAGCACCACATAAAAATAAAATAAAGATGTTGTGTCCACCGAAAACTAAAAAATAAATATTAAAAAAAACACATCATCTCTCTGTCTTTAAAAAAAAAAAAAAAAGACAGGGACTCCCTGGGACCCCTGCGTCGGGAACAGTTGTGAGTCCAGGCTCAACTCTTGTGTGATTACATCGGATTCGGCTCCTGGAGGTCAACTGGGGGTCCCACAAATCTGGCATTACAGAACATCCACTAAAATACTTCAAATCATCTCTAGATTACTTATAATACCAATATAAAACAAATGTTATCTAAATAGTTCTTACCGTATCATTTGGGAGAAAATAACAAGAAAATAAGCTCGTACATGTAAAGTACAGAAACATTCATTTTTTCAAATATTTTCCATCCGTGGTTGGTTGAGTCCATGGATGTGGAACCTGTGGGTATGGAGGACCAACTGCTTTCAGAGAAAAATCCTGAAGCTTCTAGGGTTTTCTGATGCCAGGCAATGGGGAAATGAGAGAGAATATTTAGCAATCAACGTAATTTAGCTCATGGTAATTGGTATAGGCATAGTTGTGATTGGCATTCCAGTTACTTAAACTGAGATATTCTTGATCAGGTTGAACAGGCTGTGACTGGAAAATTTCTTTACCCAAGAAATGAGGTGGAGAGAGTTTTTGGAGAACAGCCTCACTGAACTGGTAGGTAAGCTTTCTTCGGATTTTGGTGATTTCCCCAGTTCTTCCGTAATTCCTCAGGGCTCTGGCCATTTTCTGGTAAGTCATGGTCTTCCGATTGCCTTTTTTTTTCCCCCAAAGTTCAGCAAGTTTTTCTTTGTTTTTGGATACAAACTGAAAGATGCCTTTGGTTTTATCTACCCACTGAATACAGGAGGCCATCTCAGGATCGCACAGGGACTCATGAAGGTATTCAAACAGCCTGAGCTTCTTTCTGCCTGCAAGGGAGAGAAACAACATCAGAACCTCCTCAGAAGGATTTGTGGAGTAACAACAGCATTAAAAGCTGACTTGGCACTGGTTTTCCTCCTCCTACCCTCCTAGAAATGCATTTATGGCTTAATTTTGTAGAACTTAAAAGTCAAAGACCTATTTGGCCTACTGAGGTTGCAACTGGACCTTCTCTTGTGGTGGAACTTGTCCAAAGATTTGCACTGTCTTTTGCTGGAACAGGGAATCCCGGAGCCTCTTTACTTGGGAGCTCCATTTGTTATGTGGTCTTTCTTCTCAGTTACATCCTGACTTCTCATTTTATGTCATATCTTAAGCTTTCCAGAGAACAAAGCTGAGCGAAATGGAAAGCAAAGTTCAGTATTTTTAAAGAGATGTCTCAAGGGCCTTTTCTAGAAAGCATGACATTTTGAAGGAATCCTTATTCAAATGAATTAAAGGATGTAAATGCACTTTGTAACATGGAAAACAGGATGCAAATAAAAAGTGATATTAAGGGAATTATTCATAACAACTTAGGCCAGGATGCCAACTCTGGATTTAGTGGCACAATGACTTGAAAAATACAAATAGAGCCAGGTGCAGTGGTACATGCCTATAATCCCAGCAGCTCCAGAGGCTGAGGCAGGAGAATTGAAAATTCAAAGCCATCCTAAGCAATAGTGAGACCCTGTCACAAAATAAAAAATAAAAAGGGCTGGGGATTTGGCTCAGTGGTAGAGTACCCATGGGTTCCATCCCCAGTACAAAAACAAAAACAAAATACATACAGGAGTAGAAATGCAAATATATATATATATATATATATATATATATATATATATA